AAAAAAAAATCTGTTAAAGGTGCTGGCTTCAATGGAAGCAGGACCACACTCATCTCTTCAGTAGCCTAATTGCAAATGCACCTATTTAAAAATAATAACAAAAATATATATTCCAAAGTCAACTGCTCTCATATTCCTGATGTGGAGTATTCCCTGTTCTCATTCAATCTAATCTACAACGGTGAAGAGTTAAATAACCAGGAACTCACATTTTTCCACTTTAATGACTCTATTAGGGGGGAAAAAAAAAAAAAAAATCTATAGAAGACTAAACTAGAATTAAAAATTTAGTTTTACAACTATGATCACGTACACTGTCAAAGCAATAAAGATACACAGAACAGAACACCCCAAACCCTACTGCTTTGGATTGCTCCAACGTGCAGCATTTTGACATCACAGCTCCCCAACAGAGAAGGGGGAAAGAGAGAAAAAAAAAAAACAAAAAAAAAACAACCACACACAAAAATAAAACCCCACAAAACCCACCAAACCCAAAACCACCAGGTTTCACAGCAGGTAACAATAGAACTTTTAGAAAAATACATATAGGCTTAAGGTCTGTTTCTTGCATAATCTATACAGCATTTAAACCAAACCAAAACCCTCCAACTTCCTCCAGAATTAGAGCTATGACCCAATATAAATTGTGTATCTGAAAATATCATACTGAGCAAAGCTGAATGCTGTCACTTGAGGAAGAACAGATTTGAAAACCAAACGCACAGTTCGATGGAAGTTTTACGCTAAGTACGCCTCGCTGTTTGTCGTTTTTTAAGTCTAGAAAAGCTGAGCTTAAATCCTACTTCATTCTCTTCCCTTACAGACAGCAGTTGAGAGGTGAGAGGTGGTGATCTCCATCCGAGAGGGAGGACCATACCCTGTTGGGTTGTACCAGCTGCTCCCAAGCCCTCTTCCAGCCCCTTGAGCTGGTACACAGTCTGATTCCATATGATTAAAGCATACAAGGGTGGAAGGATGGCTACCAGAGCAGGACAAGAACAAGCCAACTCTGCCACAAATATCAGCAGTTAGACCGTGACAGCATCTGTGAGCAGCAGATGGGGAAAAGGAGAACTCAGTTTACGGAAAGAATGACTCCTGGTCCCTCAGGCACGCCTCTGACCACAGGAGCCACAGAGGAGTGATCCTGTCCCCTGGAAGCAGGGTTTCCTGTGGCTCAGTGTTTTCTTCCTTCTTGTAGTTCCCCTTTCCTTCTTTATTTCCCCAAACAGAACAGGAGAAGGCCTGGGTAGCAGATCAAACATAATTCCTGGGAAGCTGTGCTCACGGTCACTTCTGGAAAAGTGCAGAGGCCTAAAGCTAGGAGGCTTTCCACAAAATTTTGGAGTATCTCCACACTTCTCCAAAAAGGCAGTAAAGACTAAACGGCCAGCAAGCACCTCAAAGCCTCCCACTTGCATAATCTTCATCTTCTACTATTCCTTTATTTCATCAAGGAGAAAAGGTACCAGAAATAATAAGAAGAGACTTATTATGAAGACTAGAGCATCAGTTTCCAAGCTGTAAGGCAAACCATTTCCAAATTATACATATCCAGGTACAGACAAAAAGATTAGCAGCAGTGGTAAATACCAAGAGCAAAGAAGAATACACAGTCTGAAAGAAAAGAAAAATAGCAGTAGTTTGGGAACTAATAGTCTTACACACACACCTGAAAAGGCCACAGCAAGACAGGCACCACGAACTTAGACAATCGCCCTGTATGCTGTTCTAATCAAAATAATGATAAACTAATACCAATTTCTGAATTTTAGTTTATATAGATACCATCAGACTAAGTTAATTGCCAGAGGGACCCTGTGGATACAGAAGAAACGGAGAGATACTAAACCTATAACCAGAAAAAAAGTTCTCACTGTGACGCTGGCCGCTCTTCTGGAGGCTGATTCACCAGAACCAGCCAAGAAGGCTGAATCACCAGAAGCCTCCAGTTATTTATACAGAAATAACTGTAATTCTTAAATCTGTGTTGTATTGGAGTATCTATTTGGGATTTTAAAGCATTAAAGAGTCACTACAAGCTACCAAACATTTCAAAAGTCAAACCCAACTCCAAGGCAAGAACACCTCTCTGCCTTAAGTGTGACCTAATACTCTGCTTCCACTGAAGTCAGTAAAATGTGAATACAATTAATCCCTAAACCCAGAAGCATTATACTTATTTATACCAACAATCCAGTGCAATACTTACAGAATTTGTACCTTGTTGCCAAATTAAACACTAGGCAGCTAAAAGTATTTTATGACTGTAACAGAGCTGCTGCAACTCCAGGTGGTTATTTTACAAAATACAGTATTTTTTCCCCTGAAATACAAAAGGGTGTGTAATAAAGCAACAGAACTGAAGCATTCCAAAAGGACTTTTGTCTTTATAGGTCTAATGCTGTCCATAATCTAATCATGTAAAGAAATGGGCACAATAATCATTTTGATATGAAGAAAATAGAGTAAGGCAAAATGAAACGTGAGCGCGTGCTGGTCGCATTTGTAGGGCGTGACAAGGAAAATCTGACACTAACACATTTGACCTGTGGCGACTCTCTGCAGCTACGGTGCTTTATGCCTGTTAAAGAGCCCATCACTGGACGATCTAGCAGTATGCAAGAACAACATTAATAGCATATGCTAATTGTTAGCTATAGCCAAATGCAGCCACACTGTAACCCTTTTTAAATTCATTTTTAAACTGCAACTGAAAGCAGAAGGGAGCATACAGTTATTTACCATTTTTGAAAAATGAGACTGTTAAAGGCACATTAACTATGAACCGATTAAGACCACATTCCTTCACAATAATAAACACCACACGAGCAATACAATAAGGTCCTACTACGCCCTACACATTCACCACTACAAAACAATCCTGCAGGACTACAATTGTTCTGTAAACAGAAAAGCCGATCAAGACTTTCAAATTCTGATTTCCTGTCAACACAGTAATCATAACTAAACCACAAAATTATTCATTACCCAAAATACTGTAGACTCCACTTTTTAAACCATGGAGTATAGTTAATCAGTTTCACAAACACAAATCTAACCTTCTTAAATTAGTTTGTGCAAATAAATTGCACATGCACACAGAGAAAACACTCACACTAAAATAACTCTCTGTTTTTTAGGCTAAGGCTGAAAATATTCTTTTACATTGAATTAATTTTCTTTAGGGGAGGAAAGAAAAATCTTGCTATACTAAGGTTCTGATTTCCATCAACTCTTGCTTTTAAACTTTGAGTGGATTACAATGAGGCTTGTGTAACTTTTTCCTACAACGTTATGTAGCTACTGCCTCATTACAGTTAATGATGGTACTACTGAGACCACATCTGCTCTAGAAACATCCACGGACCCAAAACTACATAACTGTGTTTGGAACATTTTGCAAGTACATATATATATATGGAAACAATTATATATTTATCCACAAAATGTCAAATTCAACATCGAACACTATGGAACATAAAAAACTTCATTTTTATCTCTCAAACTTTGTTCATATCCCCAACTTAATTGGCTTTTAATATAAGAACTGCTCTCCAAAGCCATTCATTAATATACTGATACCTAAGAACCGCAGGTGGTTATTAGTACATGTTAAGAGATCGTGTAACAGTAAGACAGTTGTTAAAGCATTAAAATATTTATAAGTGCCCTAAGAACAAAACTCGAATTACTCATTCTTTTCTAATTCTCGCCCTGAACATTCACACCAATACATAACACTTCTGATTGTCTAAGCCACAGAATGGAGACTAGTTAACAGCAAATATATTAAATCTTCCATGCGAAAAATTAATCCGTTAAACAGCTTTGGTAACCTAGTATATAGTTAGCTTTGTGTAAATATTTTGCAAACATCCCTTCCCCCAAAAAAATCCCTATGTACCGTGTATATTTATATAATAATATACATATTTCCTGAGTAAATCGTTAAATCTGATTATTCGGAAGATTTGGCAAAATATCCAACTTTATATTACTAAAATAGAATTTTAAATAAACATTCAATAAACACATTAAAATAAATATGGAATGTTTCTGAAAATTATAGTACCATGAACTTACATTAATAATAAACAATAAATTTTTTAATTAAGTGCATACTATGTTATATAGTTACTGTTTTTTAACCCACTGAGGAATCAATAAATCTAATGTCTAATCCTGAGTGACAATTTTATATCACCTGCTAATGTGTACTTCAATGCAGTATGTACTGCAATACTACAAAATCCTTTTTTTTTTTTTTTTTAATGGAAAATTTTAACAGACTATGCTATAGAAAAGCTCAGTTTACATTGGTTTAGCTACAAACTGAATTGGCAGCACAACTGCTGAAGCATCTCACACAACCAACATTAAACACCAATTATTCTTGTCAAACTGTCAGCGATAACCTGAATGACCCGACTCCCTGTCACAAAAACAACACAGGAGTGTGGATTGCTCCGTACAGAGTGATGGGATGCCAACTACTTAGTGATCCCTTTGGCACTTAAAAAGAACTATATAACGGTGCAAAAACCCCCTGAACAACTATGGAATACTTCAAAATGGATTTTTTTTTTTTTTTAAAGTATGCTAAATTGTATCATTAACAAAAAAAGGAGAATAAAGTTCTACCACACTCTGGTTTCTCAGGTCATGGCTTGAATCACAGCTGATACAGAGCTTTGGCTAAGCACACACGGAAATGCTCAGCTATTGTTTAGTTCCTCTTAATAATAAAATTTTTATGCAGCAGACATTGCAATACCAGCAATATTAAAATTGCATTAACACTATTACAAGATGTGTCTCTCTACACCAGAATCACAGTAATAGAAGTGCAGCACTGATCAGTTATATTAACCCTTTTGCTTTTGGATAACCTGTCAAAAACACCTCCCGTGGCACTATGCAGGGCGCTCTGCCCTTCCCTCCCAGTCTTCAGCCTTTTGCCTCCTCTTTGTTATTATTATTATTATTATTAGCTACTATTCCAGAATCCTCATGGGTTCCTCAGGTTTTTCTCTTTTGCTTCCTTTGTTTTCATGCTCCATGCTGCGTTTTTCTTGTGTGCTTGTGTTTGGAGGACAAAGCTCTTGCAATGCCCTTTCAACAACTTCTTGTTTTACTGGACCGCTTGAAGAGGTTTTTGGCAAAGTCATCTGTAGCGCACACCACAAAGCAGTACGAGCCTTACGCGTGGAAACAGCCAACTCTCTAATGGCAGCTGCCAGAGCCAAAACATCTACAACAGAAAAACACATTTACAGGTTAAACTAGCATACGAGCCTCGTAATATTAATATATTAAAAAATTCTGTAAATTTGTTCTACCCATGGCAAATACGCAAAGTGTGCTCAAGAAACAGCTGATGCTGCTCCCTGGTACTGCACTAGTTGAATTCCATCAGTTATCATTCTTGCAAGTGATAACTTGAACATCTCACTCTAATAGCAACCATAATTATATCCAAAATTCACTGGCATATTCACCAGGCCTAGGATACAACAATTAAGCCCATTTAATTGGTTTTATTAGAGGGGACTATCTACAATGATACTTCACAAGTATTACTAAAACTACCTACCCAATTCCAGCCAGATGAGTTTGATGCAATCCTTTTTTCCTCCTCCGTCTTCCTTTCAGTGATACCCACTCAGCCTCACACTGAGAAAAGGCTAACTGCCAACCTTTGGATATGTGACCACCAACAGTAGAACTCAAAGAAATACGTATTTCATAGCGGAAAGCAGACTAAAGGCTTTTCTATACGTGATTTAGACTGTGCTCAGAGACACAACAGCAGCACAGCTCTTCTTCAGAAACTTAACTACACTGCAGATTTTACCATTAACCATAAAAGACTAACTGCAATTTTGCTAACAAGTATGATACAGGATGGCTCAAATAATGCTTCCATATGCCTTTACAATAAAGCATTATCAAGAACATGGTTTGTGGGATTTTTTTTTTTTTTTTTTGTAAGATGATGACTACCTGCTTCCTGCCTTATGCTTGGGGCTAATGTCACATTACACGATTTTAGAAGTTGGTTTGCATATAGCACTATTACTTTTAAGGATATGACATCATGCTTGACACCTAACTTGTGAAAGCAAAACATTTTGACTCTCTTTACAGTTTATCTTTCCCTTCTTACAAGGAAGAACTATCCCATACGCATCGCTGGAAGCCAAAGAAACCCCCCTGTCAGCTTTACTGCAGCAAGAGGAAATAAGACAGTACAGGACAGTGCTGAGTAAGGATCCAAAAGAGGACAGGGGTGAGGCAGGGGAAGTGCATTCCTCCTTTGAAATCATTTTCTGAAGAAAAATATATGATCTTTACTACCAACCCCCAAATCCCTATATGTATCAGCTGTACAATCATTACATTGAATAGCAAGATATCACATACACTATGCTATTAGAAGGGATGCAATTTGTCCTAGTTTTGCATTACTTCTACAGAAGTAGATACTACTGCTACAAATTATTCTGGGTTTACGTCAACAGAAGTTGGGCATTGTAAAATGTAATTTCTGGCATTTCTGTGATTCAGATAAAGTAGACAATCAATTAACACGGCACCAACACATTTCTTTTACTTTATAAGCTGACAAGAAAGGCTACCAATACCACTAAAAAAAGAAATTCAACTTGTTTAAAAACAAGTACATTTTTACTTTTAGGACAACTACTTATGGTTATATAGTATCACTGAACAGTTTTACAGTTCTCCTTTAGTCAAGAGGTTTTACAGTTCTCCTTTAGTCAAGAGGAGAATGTTTCAAAGTGTTTAAACTAGTAACAGAAAAACAGAAAAGAAAACGGATCTCAAAGTAATTTAAAGTCTTTTAAAAAGTGACAGGTTGAGATTTACAAACTTTTTTGTTGAAGTTGCAATAATCGCTGCATATGTCAGATTTGCGTATATCAAATGGCATATTTTCACAATTAAATCCTTGAAAAGGCTTTTAAAACTACAGAAATTGAAAGCAGTTACCTTTCTCGTTATTGTAACGTGGTACTCCTTGTCGCTGTGGATCAGCAGCATTAATAATCTCATCCTTACGCCTGGCCTGTGTTACGTGAATGGCTTCCATATGGCGTTCCAATGTAGTGGATATGTTCCCATGTACAGGGGTACCATGAAGCCTTTCCATTTTTCCTATTAGTGTGAGCACCTGCCAGATACATTGCAAACACCAAATTCGCTAAGTATTTCTAAGTCTCCATTAAACAAACAAACGTAAAACCAAAAAGAAATTCAGGAATTATAGCTCAAGAAAGCTTACCCTAGCTTGTTCTCGTAACTGGTCGACAATCAAACGATCAACTCGTGATGGGTTAGCAGGAAGTCGGGACACAGGAGTGTTATTTGAGCTAGATATGCGCTTCCCTGGAAAGTTTCTTGCAAGGTCAGCCTCAGTCTGGAAGGGAAATAAATAGCCATTGTCAACGTTTGAAATTAGTACAATATTTAAATCCATATTTTTGGGGTGGTTTAGAATTTTCAAATACATTAGAAGTGCGCTTACTATCTTTACTTACTACATTTACAGAAAAACGTTCCCGGTATCTGTCTAGATGTACAACCAGATGCTGTAAAAATAAGAACACTTCTCTAATTCAGCTCTACCTCAGCAAACAATGCTCAGTAGCAACATTTAGAACCAAAGCTGTACAACTTTATTTTAACCAATCTTGGACACGGACCTAGGCAAAGAAATTCTCGTACAGTACCCCAGGAATATAAACTGTATGGCCTCTCCCTGCATCTCTCAAATGTCACATATTATGATATTAACAAATGAAACAGGTGATGACACCAGTGTAAGTTGTATCTGAAGTGCATCAGGGTTAAGCCAGATTTAACACAAACTGGTATCAACTCTGATAAAGTCATCAACACATCTGCCAAACTCCCTATTGAGAAAGGAACTGGTGAAACCACTGCACAATGCAGGCAGTGACTAAACATCACCAAACCTATTTTTGGATTGGAACTTCTTACACTAGGAGTAAAATGACACAACTGGCTGCTGATTCTCTCTCCCATTCTTTCTTCAGTGTACAATGGCCTTAGGAGAGAAAGATTAGGTACCATGTTATAGTTCAGGGTAAGGTTAAGTCCACATTCATACTGAAAATATGTGCTGAAGTGGGTTTTTTTTTCTGCTTTACTGACACATCCATATTATTTAGTCTCTGCCCTCACCTGACATGAATTACAAGAGCTGACTGACTCTACTTGTATTCATCTGAGAAGCCTGAAAGACATTCAGAAAAAAGAAAAAAAAAAAAAAAGGATGGAGAAAGGGTCATGAATTCATTTAACACCACCAGGTATTTAAGAATTACAACTAATAAGAAGTTCTCAGTACTCATCTATATGGACATTTAATATTTCAGGCAATTCCAAACAGACAATTCGTAGAAATTTTTTAAATGAGGGATCCGTGGAAGAGTGAGAATTATAAAAGGAAAGAGGTAAGCCGTCGCTGTGAACTCCAAAGCAGCTGCAATGAACAGGTTTCTGAGAGCTGAAAGGGCTGACTGACTAGACAAGCTAGAATTAAATGCAAGTCCCGCTGGGGGGAGTTTCTGTCTATGCTTAAGGAATTCATGTAGGGCAAGAATATCCAAAGGGTGAGAATATCAAAAGAAAGTCTTTTCCTATGTACAGGTGAGGTATACATACGTTAGTTAATCAAACAACAGTTTAGGTGTTGCCAACGACAATGCCTTGTGATAGTTTAGGCTGTTTGGACTGTAAAAACAGCTTCTGAGAGTTTAAATCTCCACCAACCAGCATTCTTCCAAACCGTACCTACAAACAGGGATTAACGCAGTGCAGGCACATTCCCACAGGCAGTTGGGATGCAGTCACCCCTTTTTGAGGAGTAAATAGTTTGGTTGTAGGAATGTGAGCCACGCTATGGCAGCTGGCTTGCAGGACTGAGAACAGTTTATACTCATAAATAAAGTTATCTGCAGATGTAGTCTGTAACTACAAAAATCAAGGACTAAGAAAGCCTGAGTAGATCACTAGGATAAAATTGGATCACTTGGAATAGACCAGACTATGTTCAACAATTAAATCCCTTTAATTATTAACATCATGAAATAAGGATAAACAACTCTTTAATGATGAAAACACAAAGACATATATTATGAGATAAAAACTATGATTCAGTCTTCCCAAGTGACTTAATGGATCCAAATCCTGCACGAGCAGGTTTCAAGCAGCTGCCTTTGCCACAACAGAAAGCAGAGGAGCTTCTGAAAACACTGGTGCCTCAAACACACTGGAGTAAGAATCATCAACACCCTTTCTCACTTGTAGAAAATTCCTAGAAGACTGGATGGGCAGAAAGGGGTCTTGCTTAAAGACATCAGTGAGCAAACAATATAGGCAGTTCTATCTACACTTCCAAAAGTCTATTAGCAAGGTCTCACAGTTGATGCTGGAAAGAAAAATATGCTCTCCAGAGGTCAAGTTTGGTCACATACCAGTCTCTTTCTCCAATGACCAGGAATCTTCTCCCACATGGAAGTAGTAGACAGGCACTCAGTGTATAATTAGGACCATGGATTACTGATGACCTAGTGTCCAAGACATGGCATGGAGATCTAGGATTTAAGTCCTCTTGGGAAAGGATCTCCTGCTCACCATGAGCACAGAGCTTTCATTCCAAGGTGTAACACCTTTATCAGTAGTGTGATCCCTCCCTGACAACAGTTCTTAGCAAAAGTCTGAAGCAGGAAAGCGACTGTAACAAGAAGAGTATAAATTGAAACCACCTTTGGGAAAGAAAACACTGTAGGTTTTCCCCTGCAACTATGTACAGGGTGCCCAGGATTACTTACTTACTTTTCTTTTTACTGAACCAAAGCTTTAGAAAACAACAAACAGAAAGAGTAAGGGAAAGACACCACTATATCACTGACAGTAAAAAAAAAAAAAAAAAAGCACCAATAAAACAAAAAAAATATCAAAACACAGCAGAAAAGTTTATCTCCTTAAATGATTAGGCGGGGAAAAAAGAGAGCCTGGCTTTATAATACCTGCGTTAAAGATTTAGTTGAAAAGAAGGAGTATGGGACAAGAAAAGAAAAGAGATGCATCTAACCAAACTGTGCAATATGAACGTTTAGAGCACTAAGGTGCATAAAATGCCAGGACTTTTAAGAACCACCTCGGGTAGTGAGGGCCCTGCTGTATCATCATATATGGCTGGTGGCTCTAGAGTTGTGGGAAAGGCCTACTGAATTAATAACAACTAGCTAATGATCTTTTATTGATTATATCAATGAAAAACATCGAAGCTAACGATAATTCAGTGCTTTGGCCAGTGACAGTATCATCACATTTGTTGTAAAAAATATTGTAGATTAATGGAGAGAAATGTTGCGTTAGCAGCCCTGTCTAAGGGGAAAGAGCCTTACAAACTGCACTTCAAAGCCACACATGACTTAAAAGCAGTCATGCCAAACACTACAAGCATTATATTCAAAGCAGATGATGTAGATGGTGCTTGAGGTATTTAAAACTAACAACATGCCAACAGAATTTTCGCCCCTTCAAATGGAGCGACAACCTGGAGTATCTACTCTCTACAAATTGTTTCATGCAATCAAAGCTTTGATAGGGAGTTATTGTCTGTTGGGTTTTACCTTCTTTCTCTCTTTCTCCAAAGCTCTCCACTGCTCATAACACTCCTCCAGTCGGATATGAAGCTCATTAGCAGGTCCACTACGATTTCTTGGAGGTCTGTACTTGTTAAATGGTGTTGGAAAGGCAAAGTACGGTGCTGCTATTTCCCCACAAAACAGATCGTTGATGAAGGGATTCAAGTTAAAATCATCGTAATGAAAAAGATCAACAAGTTCTGAGAATGGAAATGGTGATGGAGGAAAACTGAAATTATTCGTTGATGAAAATAGATGATGATTAAATGGAGGAAAGCTGGGATTTTGCTTAAAATCAGACATTAATGGGAAAGAAGGAAGAAAAGAAGGATTGATGAAATCTGACATGCTACCACCATTCTGTTCATGTTTTTTTCGGAACATATTGAATTGCTGACGGTTTGGAGTTGTATACCCAAAATGAGGAATCCAATTCCTTCTGCCTCTTCTTTCATCTTTATTACTATTTTCATGCATCTGCTTTTTTGGAAATCTGTGGTATTTTTCAGGTTCTTCACTTACAGCATTCTGCTGTGTTAACCAGTCAGATGAAAAATTAAAGGGGAATTTACGGTATTGCCCCTCCTTATTAGTCAATGAATCATGCTGAGATCGTCCAATGGGTTTTATTTGCTTCTGATTTTCTGAGATGAAATTAGAAACTCCTAAATTATTAGAAACACCATTTGCTATTTGTAACCTTCCATCTTTCCTTGAAGGGAGGACAGGTAAGATCTGTGAGTAGTAAGAGGACTGTGTTATAGACTGATGGGTGGGAGAACCACCAGACATGGTTGAACCCCCTGAAGATGACTGTGGACTTGTTACCACTTGCTTTCCATACGTGATATCCGATGCAGATGTTGGACTTGCAATTTTCCCATCCAGCCACGTCCGTCCATGGTACGATGAATAACTCCCATTTTGTGTAACATTTTTTACAGATAAATCATATTCAGATACTTTATGAGAGCATTCTTTAGGACTAATATGGATCTTACATTCATTATTGTTAAAAGCATCCCCCGAAGTAAAGCTATGATGACCATTTTGCACATGGGTTTCCTGTGGTTTTCTGTGTGTTCCTCCAGAAAAATTATTTTCTTTAGGGGGCTGATTGAAAAAATATAGCGGTGGATGAACAGATGACTGCAATTTATGAGCAGCTGTAAAGTTTTCGTATCTTTTCAAAAACAAGTGGTTGTTCTGGGACACTTTATCCCAAGAGTCATCAACAGGCTGATTGGAAAGATCAGGGGAATACTTAGTTTGTTCTTGAGCATCATTTTTCAGAGCTTTGCTTCTTGCTCTTTCAGTTTTCCAATACTCTTTCTGAATGCTAGTGCTGTCTTTCATTCTGTTCTGAGAAGAAAAAGTGCTAAAGTTGGAGCCGATTTTTTCATAGTCTCCATTCAACTTCATGTGGTCATAACTGCACAAATGCTGATTATAGTCTATGTTTTGAAATGAAAACCCTTCTTGGTGAATTGTATTATTATTTTGAAAAGAGGAATTTTCAGGATAACTGTTCTTCAGAATATTATCAGGCTGTGTGCAAGGGCCAGATGGAGAAAGCCAAGATTCTATGAGATGAAGATCTTCCAAACCTCTGTGTAACATCTCCACATCATGAGACTTTTGCAAGTGTTCCTGATAGCAGTTCTGTGTGCCCACCAGGTTTGAAAAATCTTTACTTTCACCACAGTGCTTAGATGAGAGCCCTGAGAATTCACCATTGCTTCCAAGATCAGGAGCCCACATAGGTGGAAACAATCTTGAAAGAGAATTCCTGTAACAAAGTTAAACAAGCCTCCTGTAATGATTTCAAACATTTCTTACAGTAAAACAGTTCACATATCACTGTTATTCCACACACACATTTCCCCCGTTACATTCTGGGCTAACCATACACAACCCTCCTCCAGAATATAAGGAGGAGGGGCAAATACTCCTGCTGCAGTTGAGTAGATGCTATGCGAAATCTGATTACCAATGCTGTTCTCTAATGTTTATAATATGTATACTTAGAACTGCAGAGTTTATTTGGATTTATTAAGTATTTTAGATTTGACTGTATTCAGTCAAGTCCCTACTGGTTAAAATGAGATTTCCCCCCCTTCCCCTGCAAATGCTGTAGGCTGATGGAAGGCTTCAGAAAATTTGCATTTCTAACAGCTCATTGCATCTTTTTTTTTCCACTTCTATATTTCAAGGGGATTTATAAGACCTTCTTTACTCAACTCCATGAAATAATCCAAAATACGTACCGTATTTGTGTAACAAAGGATATAAAAAACAATATACAACATATAAGAACTTTCAGAACAAACTTACCAATCTGTAACTGGTTCTGGCTTGCTTGGCTCCTCCAAAATGCTTGACACTAGCCCAAACATATCAGGGCCATTGCCAGAATAAGAAAGATTTATTGGTGCCCTGAAAAAAAAAAAAAACCACAAAAAAGCCTAGGTAAATAAAAGTCTCTTCCTCCCAAACAAAACTGATAAAAGGAAAAGTAAAGCATTAAACTTTTAATTTATTTTAGCAGCATCTGCTAAGTGTTCTGAATTTCATGTATTCTCAGCACTCATATATAGAAATCTCTTCCTGCATTTGTGAATTCTGTAGCCTAAATGAAGTAGAACAATTTTCCTAAGTTCTTGCTTCAACAGAGACTTCTCAAGCTGTTACGTGAAGAGACGGGAGCAGCAAAAGATTTTCCTCTCTTTTCAATCAACATAACTATTTTATAGACATTTCTTCAAATCTTGACTTTCTCCGTTAGAAGGTAAATCTGATCAATCTTCTCAAAGTCTTCAGGATTCTAATTTATCTACTTCCATAATTCAAGAACTATTGTTTTACTCTCAAAAAAAAAAACCCTAACTTAAGATATACTTAAGTTGAACCACTTTTTAATCCCCTTTTACAAAGGAATTGGTCAAAACTTTATTAAATATTCCTGATAAATACCAAAGGTGTTCAACCATCACTACTCTCACACAAGCCAAACTTTTACTTCAGGTGCAAAACAGGATCTTTACAGAGCTGTCTGTAACAACACCCAACTCTTACTCAGAAGTTAATTAAAACATAACAATGTTAAAATCTCCTTCCCTCTAACATGCATTGTTTTGCATCAATAAATTTCACTTATCCTATTCTCATTCATCTGTTTGTTTCAGTGTCCCTGAAGATCTCTCAATCTTCCCTGGTGTCAGCTTATCCAAACAACTACATCATCTGCTAATGCTGCCACATAACTACTCACGCTGATTTTGCGATTTGATTAACAAAGACCATAAAACGTGGAATAAACTACTAAGGCTGTCACCTTGTTAATCTCTTGCCACAGTGACTATTAGCCACTTATGCCTTACTAGCTTTTAAGACCTCGCCACATTTTGACTTCTACCTACCTCTATTATTTACTTCATGGCCATTCAGTTTGCTCTGTAAGGATTCCGGAACATATGATTTTGTTTAGGATATACATTAGAGCAAAGATTCTTGAAAATGTTTTGTGAATATAGGACTGTAACTGATATTTGATAACCAGATCTCTTCTGTGTCCTTGTCAGATGGCTTTTTCTTTTTTTTTTTAAAAAAAAAGGAGACCAATTTACTTCCAATTTCTGCAACCAACTGCAGATCATAGCTGTTCTGGCTGTTGTGACTATCTCTAGAACTGAAGCTGGGGACACTCCCACAGCCTCTGAGGACAGAAATTAGATGGAACTATTGCCTTCCTTTGGGCAGATACTGCATTTGAGAAAACACCTGAACTCGTTAAAAGTTGCCAATAACTTCATCCAATCTACTGCTGAAGAAGGATGGATTTTCATATGGACATTCCTCAAGAGAAGTTTGTGGCACTAGAATAGAGGTGTAACAAAAGGCCTATGTATAAGTTGAGGCACTGGGGCTCCTACAATTTATTGTGGAATAATTTCAACAGCCAGAAAATTGAGAATTAAAAGGACAAAAGCATAAGCAAAATTACAACGCAAAGAAGTCTCCAGTGATGGATTAGTTACTGTCACCGAGCAGCTTAGAGGAACTGAAATGACACAGGTGTACTGCACCCAATACAATTAGGCACCGAGTATCCTAAAAAATTAACAGAAAAAAAAAAAACCAATTTTTTTTTAACCTTAAGGACTAGTACATACGTGCACTCTCAGAATGGGTACACAGATGGATTGTAATTAACAGACAAGTACCATTTCGCTGTTTAATTCTAAGAATCACTTTTTCTTTTTTTTACAAAAAAATTTAAAATTTATTACCTTGCTTAATAACCTTAAGGCTGCTTTTAAAAGGAGGTTGTATATTTTAATGAGTGGATTGCCACTCAGAGGTTGAACTTAGCACTTACAGCTAATACTAAAGCTGTATGATCTTTTATTAAAAAAATAAAAATACTAAAAATAAACATCTGTGACACTTCCCAGGGAAGACTAGCAAAAAAAAAAAAAGATAATGATATTTAGCTTCTTTGCAATATATGTATCTTCCTTAATTGTTACCTTTCAGTATCTGTTATTAGGCAAGTGATAAAAAAAATGCAATGAGATTGATATCAGAAATGCTAACAGCATCATCACTGATGTCAAAAGCTGCTGTGCCAGTTTGTACCAACCACACCCTGTGCCTCCCCAAAAGGCAATATTATGTTGCCAGCACTTGGCATTAGGATGGAAAGAAGAGAGTGGGAAGCCTAACACGAAATAATTGTTTACGCATTTCTAAGGTTGGAATAGAAACACTACAATTTCAATTGCTGTACACAAGCTATAAAATTGCTAATATGAAGGAGAGAACCAATTATTTCAGTGGGCATCCCCTGATTTCTGGACTGTGAAATAATCATTCCCTGTTCCTCACAATCCTTGTATTGTTCATGACTTTATAGAAATCATTCCTCTGCAGAGCTGACTTATCAAAACCCAAAAAGAGTTTTACTTTCTCTCCACTGACATGGAAGTTTTCAAACCCCTGACCAGCCTTGTTGCCCATCTCTGTAACTTTAATAGTTTTACCACATTATTAAGACTGGATGATCAGAAATGCCTGCAGTAGTCAAGACTTGGGTAGAGTGGATTTCTCCAGAGGAATAAAAATGTTTCATGATTCCAGCAACAAAGACCCTTTGCGTTCATTCAGCATCCAAAACTACAAAATTATTTTTTTCTTATATATAAAATTGAACTTGAGTGCATTACATCAAGGGTGCAATAAGACAGTAGGCTGGCGTATTTTCAAGAGTAGCTATATGCACATTTATGCTTTCAGCAGCAGAGGTACTGCTCACACTTGACCTGTGTCTAACTCTCTCTGCATTGTTCATGTTCCAGGAAATATTCTACATTATCAAGCAGGATCATTATGAGCTACGGCACTGAGGGATGGGAGGCACAGAAGGAAAGTGGTTTGGTTTTTTTAAGGAGTTTTTAGTTACATATAGCAGTTTCCCATTTTCTTCCCTAAATGTAGTATTCTTTCTGAATTTTAAAATGTTTTCACATGTAAACACAAACATTTATACACATACAGACCTCCTTTTTTCACAACCTCTATAATAACTATTATACAGCAAAGAAAATTTATTGAGTTTCTAGTTATCCCATTTGTTCTGCTCCATAACAATTGCAGTGTTTCAGAACACCACCATAAGATTATACCAAGAATGCTCATACCGTTTTTTTGTGCAGTCTTGAAAAGAAGTTTTTGAGCTAATATCTTCTCCGCATGCTGACCAGTCACTATACAGACGGGAAGATTCTAGCGGAGGTGGCGTACTAGTAATGGCTCCTAATAATGGGGAAAATAATTGAGTGTCCATTTTTGTTTCTTGCTATTTACCTATGTTGAAAAGAGAAGGAAACATATTTAACATTCGATGTTTATGTAAATGAGCAATAAAGACAACAAAGCACCCCTTCCTTTTATATCTTGAGCCAAACAACTTTTCAGGAAAATGAAATGTAGCTATGACAAAAGGATACAGTCTAAAACTTGTTCCCTCCCCAGCCTTAGAAGTAGTCCAAATTTGACAAATGTATACATCTCCTAAAAATAAAAAAAATAAATAATAAAAATTACTTACTATACAATAATAGGAATTCTCTACAGATTTCCCATTGTATGCGTTTGCATGCCACGTTCACAAGCTCAGAATCTTCTAGTCTATATGGCTGGAAACACATATGTCACAGGCATACGCATCCCTTCTGAGGAAACAAAGGGAAGAGCTATTATCCCTGCTATATTTCTGAAAACACAAAATATTCCAACAGAGAACCCACAGTGAGCAGTGATGGACGTTTGTAAACTTCAGAGAGCAAAATCTGGGTGGAAAAAGAAATCTGTCTTTAAGTGCTGGTCCAGAAAAGATTATTATAGATAAATTATTTATTCAAAGAATAAGTAATAGGAGACCTAAGTAATATGGGTAACTGTACCTCATGAGGTATCTCAATTAGGAATTTCCACAACCAGAACCTGTGATTGACAAAGGTTTAAGCAGAATATCAGAAACCTACTTTGAGTTGGAAGGGACCTCTGGGGTCATCTAGCCTAATGATCTGCTCAGAGCAGACTCAGTTAGATCAGGCTACTCAGAAACTTGGACAGCTGAGTTTTGAGATCCCACCACTTCCTCTCTGGGGAAATTTTTCCAATATGTAATGATGTTCTGGTTTAAAAGGAAAAAAAAAAACACAAGTCTAAAATAATCTAGACTACTTTCTCTACAAGCCTCCCATAAGGCAGCTACACACAACTGTAAGATCTTCCCTTTCTCTTCTCCAGGCTGATCAGACACAGCGCTCTCAGCCTCTCCTCAGACATCCCGTTCTCCAGCCCACACCATTTTGGAAGCCTCTGTAGGACTCGCTCCAACACGCTTCTTACACCGAGGATCCCCAAACTGGACACAGAATCCAGTTGTGGTCTTGCAAGGGCAGAACAGAGAGGATCATAACAGCGCTCACCCCACTGGCTACGCCAGCATAGGGGCGGCCTTCTCTCCTGCAAGGCCACACTGCTGATTAACATCCAACTTGACCACCAGGACTCTCAATCCTTGTCAATTAACTTTTGCAAGTTTTGACTCCAAGAGTAAAACCTCAAGCTTTCCTAAAAACAACTTTTTAGATACAGAACTGAACTAGCTGTCCTTTAATTTTCATAAGTAAAGACATTTAGTCAAGATGGAGTACTTGTGCTTCTGAAAATAACATTTGGGAAACAACAACAAAACCTAAAAAAAAAAAAAAACCAACCAAAAAAAAAACCCACCCCAAAAAATCTAACCCCCTCAAAACCCCAGGTGTATCAGTAACTGCAAGAAGCCATGGTGTCAGATGTAGACTGGAGCTGACTGTACCATCCCGCCCTGTGCTTTATACCTTCCCGAGAAGGCCAGTAACTAACAAAACTGCCCTAAGGAGAACACTTAGGAGAACATTCCTCCCACCCAATTCTAGAGGCATTTCTTGGTGAACTGAGGTTCTTATAAACACAAAGAAAAACACCACAGTTTAAAAGAATCCATTGAGGGGATTTCCTATGTCAAGACATATTTCACTGAATATGTTGTCTTTCAGTTTCTTTGAGTAATTCAACACATCTTCCTGAAACAACTTCTGAATTTGTTGTGATCAGGATGGTCAAACTAGCCTTGGATCCAATAAATGAAACCATTTGCTAAGTCCTTATTGAATAATTGTAAAAGGATCATGACTATGCACTTATTAAATTCCTGAAAAGGCTAAAAAACACGACATGAAAGGAACAAATACTGCTACAGTGACGACTGGGTCCTTGTACTTAAAAACATTTAAACTGATCTACTAAACTCCCATTTCATTGCTTCCCAGATAAAAAATTGCATTGTCACTAGGAACCATATTGCCAACTCTGTGAGACTGGTCCTTACTATTGGAGAAATACCTCTGAAGCCCTGAAGAAGCCAATAGAAAAACAGAGGGTTTAAGGGAAATTTCCACTGTCTGAACACAGCCTTATATATTCAGCCAGTCTAGTACCACTTTAGAAGTTTTTTATAGCTAGAGCTTTTAAAAAGTTATTTATATCTAAATAAACTAAAAGAACAAAACTTCAGTATTGATCATTTCACTATCTCACGCCCCATCCTTTTAAAAGAGAAAATCCTAAGTTAATTTTCTCTCCCCTCTTATCTCAAAAGTAGAACAGTAAAATTTTGCTTACTGCAAATCCTCGGCCAGAATTTGGTTTAGTGAAAGTTGTCACAGACTCCGAAGATCTCCCTTCCTGGGTCTTGTCTGAAAAGGTAGTAAGGAAATATCACCTGGGCAAGTGTGCTCCTACCACAAGCAGGATAGAACTACATTTTAGTGAATTTCTTGAACGAAAAAAAAAAGTTTACACTGAGGGTTTATCACTTGCTTTAAACTTGACATACACATCCAGATAAAACCCCATTAAATAAAACAATTAGAGGTGCTATAAACCTATAGACTAGGCACATATTACGCAACATTCCATACAAACACACTGTCAATATCTATATCATTAAATAAGAGACAAGAACAACTTCCTAGCCCAGAGACTAAATGGCACGGCAGTGCTCTTGTGATACAGGTAAACACTTACCCTGCAGAAGAGGATGAGAGTGATATCCAAATTACCTGCTACAAATGACTCCTGAACCACACACAAGTATCCTTTAGGAAAGCAGTAGCTGACCAAGGCCAGAATTGTAGCAACAATTTAGCAGTATGAACAAGCACATGCCAATGCCTGGGCCCTGGTCTTGTTTAGCTTGTTAGGAAGCAACACACAGAGATAAATTATGCTCCTTGGCTGGAGTATAAAATACTTTTGCATCGATTAACAATAGGATCTGTAACTAATGGATTTATCTTTTATTTTCAGAGCCATTAATCACTGCTAATGTGAGCTGTGCAGGACAATGTGACTAAAGATCAGTAGAGGAGGTACTTTATGTACCCTAGGTACAGCCTCGTCACTCAGCACTTCCAAAACACTGGAGCCTGTCATTCTACCTAGTTAAACAGAATTTAAAAAAAAATGAGAAACTCTCATCTGTGCTTTACATATGAACTACTAGCAAGTTACAGTAAAAACAAAAAAGGGATAAAACAGTGTGTTGTCTACTACAGTTTGCTTTAGTTTCAAAATTCTTCACTGAATTTCAGTTAAGAGTTATAACCTTCATAGCTGGCTTTGCAAAGAAAGAACTGCCTGCAGAGGCACAGATATGTTTCGCTCAGAATTCCAACCTTAAAAATCAATGAATGAAATGCTGCCTCCAAAAAGAAAAAAAAAAAAAAAAAATCAAATGACAACGCCTGCAGTTTTCAATAGGGCTTTTATTTCATTCTTTCCACCCTGCAAATCATGGGGAAAGCCACTGCTCTCACTAAATTACCTCTCAAAACAACAACAAAAAACTTGCTACATCTAAAACCTAGATACATTATCTCAATGGATTTTTTTCTTTCAAAGCATAGCAAGACACAGCTTCTGTTCTTTCCTGTTAAGGGAAAATGTGCATGTACTAAACTCTCTCCCTGCACACAAACCTAACACACTTTTTTCCAAGACATCTAACACTGTTACTAAGTCACATCTTATCTTCAAATGCATGCAGAGGACTTAACTTCTGCAAGGAGCTCATCACAACTGAGGAGTAAGCAAATTGAAGCATTTACCAAAACAGTCACTATTTCCAAAGGCCTCATGCAGTTCTTTGTATTTAGAAGCTCTTCCAAAGTTTCTCTTATTTGAAGAGAAATAAACAAGTAGAACTTCATCAGTATAATGTTAACATTTCAGCTATAAATATATATGAAATTGAATACTATCAGAGCTATTAGGCATTGATATTGTTATGGTATCTGTGAGATTAGTCCTGTGCTCCAGTAAACACCAACTCACGTTTTGCTACCCAGCTCCTTTGTGCTTCTGCCTCGTCCAGGCCATGTGCTAAGGATTTGCTCTTATTACGTAGGTGCCTTCACTGCTCCAGCAGTGAGGGCAAAGACCTTGAGGAAGGCTGTTACTCCCTCACTCCTCTTACTGCTGTCCTCCCATTCCCCAATCAAGCATCAAGCTAGCACAGCTGCCAGGCATGTAGAGGCAGATGAAATCTACAGATGACAGTAAAGGATTTGATAAACTAAATCATACTGGGAAGAGAGAATCCTGCATGGCAGAGATCTCAGAACAGCTGAGGTTGGAAGGGATCTTTGGACGCACAGAAGTGCCACTGTGCCCCCTCTGTACCTTCCAACACAGACATGAGACCAATTTTCCACAGAGAGTTTTCTGCCTCACCACCACTGCTTGAGACAGGCAGCTTGGAGACAGAGATCTGTGACCTTCTGAAAATCCTCTGTCCCAAGATTGAACAGCACTGTGAACATAGCAGAAGACTCAAATATTACCTCTCATTACTGGAAATGTTTTGTTTCTTGTGCTGTGCAGCTAAGTACTGGAAACAGTTCCAAACTGTCACCATCTATTCCGAGATGGTAATAGCTGCTGACAGAGCAGCGCAGGCCCCTCAAGCAGATTGGGAGGAGTTTTAGGGACGTTCATAGAGACCACTACATTATGCCAACTGTATGAAACATTTGCAGTGATGCTACATACATCTGGGGTACCTTGCTCAACTTTAGCACTAGAGGACACAGACTCAAAAAATTCAATGGGGCTTCACTCTCCTCCTGTTTGGAGGTGAGAGCAGTCTATGGCTTATATCAGACTGACAGTTCTCTGAAAGGATATATTATAAGTTAAAAAATAATGTAAACAGAGCTAAATATTTGCTTC